CTTAATTGGAAGTTTTCAAATATCCAAGTTAAGATCTTAAGCTAAAAAGTAAAGCGCAGCACTGGTGAGTTGTTTGAAAAGTTGCCGTTAGTAGGGTAATTTTTTTAAAAAGGCAGGTTGAACTCATATTTCATGGGAATTAAATCAGTCAGGAAGTACAGCATTCTGTGGTCATCACAACCATGAAGACAGGTTTCAGAGTAACAGCCGTGTTAGTCTGTAATAGCTTATCTAAAGTGATCATCAGGTGGGCCATTTCCAGCACAAATCCAGGCTTTCTCACCCTCCACCCCCCCCACACAAATTCACTCTCCTGCTGGTGCTAGCCCATAAAGAGTTGTCACTTTGGATGGGCTAGCACCAGCAGGAGAGTGAATTTGTGTGGAGGGGTGGAGGGTGAGAAAACCTGGATTTGTGCTGGAAATGGCCCACCTGATGATCACTTTAGATAAGCTATTATCAGCAGGACAGTGGGATGGGAGGAGGTATTGTTTCATATTCTCTGTGTATATATATAAAGTCCGCTGCAGTTTCCACGGTATGCATCCGATGAAGTGAGCTGTAGCTCACGAAAGCTCATGCTCAAATAAATTGGTTAGTCTCTAAGGTGCCACAAGTACTCCTTTTCTTTTTACAACCATGAAGGAGGACCATTTTTAGCTGGTTGAATTTGAGATTAAGGGTAGATCCCCTTGTGTACAGAGTAAATACATGATGGTGTGGGGTAGTATGGCATAAAGATGTCATCAATCTAAATTTGGTTTGATCACATTACTAATTAATGGTAAAGCCGAAGTAAGTAATCCAGGTTATCTCAAATGCAGAGCTGGCACATTATCCTTTACATGTACTGTAAATTGCCTGGTACATTTTTAGGTGATGTAAAAAAATAATAACAATAATTTTCTGTATATGTCACATTTTTTAGAGAAAAATTAGTTTAAAAATATTATTAATATAATTCCTTCCTATCAAAAGCCAGGATCTCTCTGTCAATGATTCCCACTGTACATGCCTCAAAACCTTGAAAAATTACCTAAAATAACTTTTCTATATATAATGTCACCATTTGAATGTTTTGAGATGTTGGACCAACCGGGGCCAGAAACAAAGCTTTTATCCCAGGGAATACTGGGAATTCTTCATTTGCAATGGTATTAAGCTGTATTTTTGGCCCATGAGCCTTCCCCTGTATGGTGTAATTGCAAGGGGGAGGTTTTGGAATTCCAGATTTAAAGGGGAAAGGTGAACCATTAGTTTGGAAAGTTAGGGATTTTTTAAAATGGCATTTATTTGAACCTGCTCAAGGGGCTGGAATGCTAGATATAGCTAGAGATCAATAAAGTGATGTGATTGAAGGTGCACAATAAATGCAGTTCATTACATAGCTCTGCAGTTGATCCCATAGACCTTGTCTAGGGTAAGGTGTAAAGGTGTGATGTGAGATCCAGTAGCTAGCTCAATCTAATAACACCTTCTAGTCAACTCTAGAACCTCTAGCCAAGAGACAACAATGGTACTGACCGTGTTCTAAGGTATAGTTGCTTTGTCTTGATTAGAGCTTTATAAGATGTTAATTAAATGAAGCTAGCTAACTCTATCTAACATTGTCTTTAAATCCTAGTCTAGACAGAGTCTCCACCATGCATGTGGGGAATTTATGTGTGTGTGTATGTGTGTGTGCATGTGTACAACACTGTGTAATGTATGTGTATGTATGTATTTATGCATGTAGATGAATATACAAAGAGATTAAAGTTTTATTGTTCTTGGAAATACTATGGACACAGATTATTATTGTCATAGAATTTAATAAAAATTTCCTGCAGAAATGTTTGTTACGGATACGGATCTATAACTGCCACGGACGTCTGGGAGCCTTGGCTATAACTTCAATTGAAGTATTTTAAAGATTAAATGGCAGACACAGTAGCCTCTATATTCTTCATAGACGGAACACTACAGGGGATGTCCAAGTGTAAGAATATTCCATGTTCTGATTTGTACATTAGATTGTGACTCTCCTGCGTACTTATAAACCTTCTATTTGATGGAGATCCTTGATTAAACATTACAGTGATTCCCTCAAGTTCATGGAAATGAATTTTTTATCTGCTTTTAAAAATTTCTACTACAGAGGAAAGACATAAAAATTATCTTTGGACAGTGTAGATAGACATCTCTGATTTGCCTAAATTAAATACATCCAGGAGGTCTCAGTTCATCCAGTAAACACTTAAATTCATTGTTGCTACACATGGATCATCAAATGCTGACACTTCAGCAGAAACTGGTCATTTGAAATAAGCTTGCAGCTCTTTAATTTCTGAGAATGGGAATCAGTCTAGCTCTTCTTTTTCCTTATCAACTTTACTTTAGCTATGGATATGTATTTCCATAGTTTCTGAGCCAAGGATGACTTTGTAGACACTTTGACACAGCTTTCCAAATTTTTTCTTTTGTCCTAATTGATCCCAGCTTCTTGTGGGGCACAGAGGAAAAGTCCCATGCTGTGTGTAATGTACATTTTTGGGCAGTGATGATATATTAATAGCCAAGTCTCAAACCATTCAGTATAGCATCCTCCTTGATGCATTACACAAGGACACCGTGTGGTTAGATTGTGGTTTTTGTTTTACTCCTCGTTCACCTATTGCGTATTGCTCTTATAAAATAATGTTATTTACAAAGGCTAGACAGTGACTGAATAAGATGACTTTAAAATTTGAGAGTTTTTTCCAGGCTCTGAGAAACATTCCCACTGAAATATGCTTATTGTTATTCTGGCCTGGGTTCCAGTATTTTTTCCCCTTGTGAACTATCAACAGGTTTCTTTTCTTTCCCATTGTCATATTTTTCTTGTGATTGTTTTCCATAATGGAAAACTGAAATATTCATAAAATCTAACAAACATTGGAGCTTTTTAACTTGCTCATTTAAAAAAAAGTATCATAGTCCTATCCAAGAATGACAGAATCATAGAAATTAGAATAGAAAAGTCCTCTATGGTGGTTTAGTCAACTCCCCTGCCAAGGTAGAATTGTTCCTTGAGATAAGTTTTGTAGTGCTTTGTCCAGTCCAGTTTTAAATGTCTTTGTTTAATCCCCGAACTGTCAAGAAGTCCTCTTACCATCATAAGTACATTTGAAAATGCATTCATTAATCACCTTTCTAACAAAGTGGAGGTTTCTGTCTTCATTTATTTTAGGGATATTTTTAGTTGCCCTTAGAACAGACACCCTGACTTTTCATATCTGAGCTTCAATTCTCTTTATTTTATTGTCTTGCATTTTATAGCATATAAATAAGAGATTATTTATGTTACAGCCTAGATTTGTAGAGTTTCCTGGATTTCTTCTTCTGTATAGGCTTTCAGCATTCCTTTTGGAGACTTTTCTTTCAAAGAAACAGAAAATACTTTAGCTTTGTCAGTCATCTAAATCTCTGTTACCTATTGTTATCTTTTTCCTATTTTCTCATAATGGACTAATGAATTTTCTGGATTTTTGAATGGCTTTCTTCCAGACATGTTTGTCATTCATGCTATAATACAGATATATGTGGGATAAGTGTGACATGAAATGGAATTTTTTAAGACAACTTGGTTGGGTGTCCAACCTATATTTCTTCCATAGTCTCTCCTTTCATTTCTTTCTCCCTCCCACAAGATGTATGTGTCAAAGAATAATGGGGGCTTCTTGTTAGATATACATTCAGAATCATTAGCCTTAGACAAATGGTCTTTTCCATACAAACTATCCAGGATTCTTGACTCCCTTCAGAGCACATCCCTTCTCTCAACTACCTTTCTATATTCAGTTTACAGTTCAGCCTACATGGCTGTTGGGAAAAATCAGAATTCAGGTGGAGGCCTAACTTGTTCTTCTTAAGGCTTCAGAAAGGATGTGTACTATATATGCTCCTATCACTTTTGTTCCTCTATCAAATAGCTTGTTACACATCAGAGGCATGAAAAATTTGACTGCAGATTTTCTTTCTTTCTCTATTTTTCTGGACAGGATCCTGTAGAAGTTATCTCTATCTTTCCTCAGATCTTCTAACCTCTTCAATGGATTTGGAAATTTCTTCATCAACTTTAATCGCAGAGATGTGTCTCTTCTGGATCCTCAAATTTGGAACAGGTTAGGGCTGTATACCTCTTCAGCTTATCCTGTTATTCTCAGGATGCAATTAGAGATATTCTAAACCAGGGGTAATCAGTGATTTCAGAGTTAGTGAATCAGAGATCTGGTTCTATCCATTTCACAGTAGCTTAAATACAGTATTTATGGCAGATAATCACACATTCACTTCTGTGAGTGGATGGATGCTTTCATGGTACCAGTGAGCCATTCCGAATACAGGATAGGCAACATGAAATTATTTGATATGGTAATTGTATTTTTCCTTTAAATATCATTAAAATGGATTGATCACATTTACTGGTTGTGCCAGAATTAAGGAAAATTTGCATTCTTGTGAAGCATATTACATACATATGTTTACTGACAGGATTGAAATATTTAATTAATGATCCTGGAGTCAAATATGAAGGCGTTACTCAGTTTTTACACAGTCATTCTCTGACTGAATTCAATGGGAGTTTTGAATGAATAAGGACTGAATAAAATCTCAGTAAGGACATCAAGATTTGCTCTATCATACTTCCAGGATAATTTTGCTTTATTAAGTGTGTTTTTGTTAGTGGAAATGTATAGTATTGTTTGTATTAAAAAGTTATTGTAAAGCTATTCACATCTTTCAGAACTGTTTCAAGCAGAAGTCCTTTTGTAATAGTAGATCCATGATTTTTTTCCCTCCAAAATGTTGAGTGAATACCACTATGTCAGGTTGCTTAACTCCTATAGCATTGGTTCAGCTTTTAAGAATAGTTCTGTACATCTGAGAATGTATTAGGTTGCATCCTAGCATGTGGTATTTTGTCACATATACAATTCTATTGTCATCTCAGTTTTGTTTTTTGTTTTTTATCACTGTAGATTTATGCCTACATATTTGAAAACATCAAATCAGTTCAATTAGAAGCATTGCTTCTGTCCTTGGTAAGCCTGGTGGTGCTCGTTCTGGTTAAAGAACTGAATGAAAAATTTAAAAGAAAAATTAAAGTAGTTCTTCCCATTGATTTAATTCTGGTAAGTATGAAATCAAGTATCAGACTTATTGCCTTTCAAAGCTTGCAGTTGTTTAACTAAACTGCTAAAGCTTACTGTGTTGTCGATTGCTACCCAGGGCCACACCTGCCACTTATTAAATACAGAGCTAATTTGCATGGCTGTATGTTAATGTATGAACAGGAAACAGTTTGGATAAATAATTAAAAATAGAAGTGACACATGTTTTCAATTTATAAAACATTTTTCATATGTTTACTGTTTCTTACATATATACAAGAACATGAGGCCTAAAATGTTAATATGAGCAATTTTAAGTATAAAAACAAAAATGTAATTGCTATGTTTTTGCTCTGAAGCCATAAGAGACGAATGCTGGTTAGCTGTAGTCAAACACTGTTTTTTACATTTATTTATGACAAAATCAGTACCTGAACTATCATTTTCTATAACTTCCGGTTTTCTTTTCATGTGGTGTAGGGTAAATAGAAATTAGCTACAGTGCTGTGAGTGCTCTACATTCAGACATCAAGTGGTAATTCAGACATTTCCCTGCACCCAGAGCTGGGATTCTGTTTTACTCAGAACCTCTTACAGAAAGCAAACAGATTTTGAGAGAAGAATTCTGAAGTCCATGTGCTCTTCACAGTGTACCAACCTTGTACTTTTGCTTTCTTTGGACTCTCTTATACAAAAGGAGACATTTTCTAAGGAAGCAAAATGCTGAAGCACAATCAACTGATGTTGCATAGGTCATTATAACAAACTATGTTGGGCATTTTTTCATAAAGAACTGGGGCCAATTTGGAATCACATTGAATTAATTACTAACTATTCTGTATGCTGCTGAATTGACTGGATTTTTTGCAAGCTATCTCTGGAATGACATGGCATCTAGAAAACTGTAGAATAATTGTGCTTCTATTTATGCACAAAACTGTCTGATTTCAAACTATGCCAGACATGTGACCTATTTGGTTTACTGTTTGTTCCCAGTTACTTGGTAGTATGTACTTCTCTGTATGTCTGATGATTATGGAACCACCCAATTTCATCTGCTTAGTCTCAAAAATACAAAGGATATAGAATCATAGAAATGTAGGGCTGGGAAGAACTATCCGTTCCCTGCACTGAGGCAAGACCATGTATCCCTAGACCAACTGTGATTTTAACCTGTTCTTAAAAACCTCCAATAATGGGGACTCCACCATCTTGTTTGGTAACCTATTCCAGTACTTAACTATCCTTATATTAGAAAACTTATCCTACTAACTAATCTAAATCTCCCTTGCTGCAGATTAAGCCATTAATTCTTGTCCTGCCTTCTGTGGACATAAGAACTTTTGATCATGGTCCTCTTTATAACATCCCTTAACATATTTGAAAACTTTTACCAGGTCCCCCCTCAGTCTTCTTTCCTCAAGACTACACATGCCCAATTTCTTTAACCTTTCCTCCTGAGTAAGGTTTATTTTTTTTATATATATATATATATATATATATATATATATTTGTTGCCCTCCTTTGAACTCTTTCCAGTTTGTCTCCATCTTTCTTAAAGTGTGGTACCCAAAACTGGACACAGTACTACCGCTGAGTCCTTACCAGGGTTGAGCAGAGCAGGACAATTACCTCCTGTGTCTTAGGGCCTGTCTTCACTATCGTGTCACATCGGTGCAGCTGCATCGATGCATCTGCACCAATGTAATGTGTCTGGTGAAGACTTACTATGTCGACAGAAGAGCACTCTCCCATTGACATAATTATTCCACCTCAACGACAGGTGGAAGCTATGTTGGTGGGAAAGTGTCTCCCAACGACATAGTGTCGTGTAGACACCACTTTAAGTTGATGTAACTTATGTTGCTCAGGAGGTGGCTTTTTCACACCCCTGAGCGACGTAAGTTACATTGACTTAAATGGTAGTGTAGACAAGCCCTTAGATGCAACGTTCCTGTTAATACACCCCAGAACGATGTTAACCTTTTACACAACTGCATCACACTGGTGATGTGTATTCAATTTGTTATCCACTGTAACTCCTAGATCTTTTTTAGCAGTACTACTGCCTAGCCATTTATTCTCCATTTTTATTTGTGTATTTGTACTTTGTTTTGCACTTGTCTTTACTGAATTTCATCTTAATGATTTTAGAACTATTCTGCAATATATCAAGGTCAATTTTGAATTCTAATCCTGTCCTTCAAAGTGCTAGCAACCCCTCCCAGCTTGGTGCCATGTTCAGATTTTATAAACATGGTCTTCAGTCCATTATTCAAGTCATTAATGAAAATATTGAATAGTACTGAACCCTGTGGAACTCCACTAGGTACGTCCTGCTAGTTTGACAATGAATCATTGTTAACTACTCTTTGTATATGATTTTTTAACAAGTTGTGTGCCCCCTTTAAAGTAGTTTTATTTACACCAGTGGTTCTCAACCAGGGTTGCGCGTACACAGAGGTGTTCCAAGGGCTACATCAACTCATCTAGATATTTGCCTAGTTTTACAACTGGCCACATAAAAAGCACTAGCAAAGTCAGTACAAACTAAAATTTCATACAGACAATGACTTGTGTATGCTGTTTTGTATACTGTACACTGAAATGTAAGTATAATACTGAAATTCCAATTGATTTATAATTATATAGTAAAAATGAGAAAGTAAGCAATTTTTAATCAATAGTGTGCTGTGACACTTTTGTGTTATGTCTCATTTTGTAAGCAAGTTGTTTTTAAGTGAGGTAAAATGTGGGGTACGCAAGAAAAATCGGACTCCTGAAAGGGGTATAATAATCTGGAAAGGTTGAGAGCCGCTGATTTAGACAACATTTCCCTAGTTTGCTTATGAGAATGTCATGTGGGAATGTGTCAAAAGCTTTGACTATAATCAAGATAATTCATGTCTACTGCTTCCTTCTTGTCCACTATGTCTGTAACCCTGTCAAAGAAGGAAATTAGGTTGTTTTGTCATTATTTGTTTTTGACAAATCCATGCTGGCTATTCCTTATAACCCTGTTATCCTCCCGGTGCTTACAAATTGATTGTTTAATAATTTGTTCCAGTAACTTCCTAGGTATCAAAATTAGGCTGACTGGTCTATAATTCCCTGAGTCCTCTTTCTCCTCTTTTTAAAGATAGGTATTATGTTTGCCCTTCTCCAGTCTCCTGGAACCTCCCCTGTCCTCCATGAGTTCTCAACAGTAATCACTAATGGTTCTGAGATTGCTTCAGCAAGTTCCTCAAGTACCCTAGGGTGAATTTCATCAGGCCCCACTGACTTGAATACACCTAACTTGTCTAAATATTCTTTAATTTGCTCTCTCCCTATTCTGGCTTGTGTTCCTTTCCCCTTGTTAATATTAACTGTGTTTAGTATCTGGTCACAATTAATTTTTTAGTGAAGACTGACACAAAATAGTCATTAAACACCTCAGCATTCTTGATGTCTTTTATTAGCTCTCCTTCCCCACTACACCTACATTTTCCTTTGGCTTTCTCTTCCTCTTAATATATTTCTAGAACCTCTTCTTATCGGTGTTTGTGTCCTTTCCTAGGTGTTATGTTCATCAGGCAGATGGAGTTGTGGTACTTAGAACTGGATGAAACTTTTTTTTTTTTTTTGCCAAACAATGCAGGTTTGGGTGAACCAAAACATTTTGTGAATTTGTGTCAATTTTGCCAAAATGTCAGTTGGATAAAAACCCTCTAAAACAATTCTGAAAAAAATCAAATAATTTCATTTCAACAATTTCAAAATAAAACATTTCAATGTTTCATTTAAAAATGATTTTTCATTTTGAAATGTATTATTTATTAACAAAATTAAAAATGTTTTTAAAAAGTTTGAAAACAAAACTGTTTCATTCAATCTGAAATAAAATTTCTGTTCAGGCCCAAACGATTTTTTTCTGACTCTTTGATTTGCCAAAACATTTGAAACATTTTCATTTTGGGTTGATCTGAAATCAATATTTGTTTTGATTTTTCAGAAAGGCCAGCGGACAGAAAAGCCAGTTATTCTCACAGCTGTGCCCAGATATCCTTTTGTGTAGAGTAACTATTTAAGCCACAGTCCTTGAGATAAATGTAAACTGTACGTTCACTTTGCTTTCATAATTTTAAAATATTGTTTCTAGAAAGAAGTGACACTTTTTTTCTCCATATGGATAAGTGGCTTCTTGTAAGACCCTATTGAAGTTTGGAAGTGCTTTTCAAAATTAATATGAAAATGGACTCTGTCCCTTTGAATTTTCTGCTATAGTTGACTGGAGAGATAATTAGAATACTGTATCCATGGTGGGTTTCCCTAAGGGAGGCTAGCTCCCTGTCCTGCCTCTTCCGTCCTTGGCTCTGACCAGACTCCACCCCCACCTTGCCTCTACTTGGCTCCCTCCCCACTCAGCCCCCCGATGCCAAGATCCTCCTTACCCTGTCCCTGCCCGCTGCATCCTTCCTCACCACTCCGGTGCCGCAAGAACCCCTTGCCTGCTGCTGTCCTCACTGCCCCATCTGCTGGTCGCCTCCTCACTCCCCCACCAGAGCCTCCCCGCCCGCCATAAGACCGCCGCACGCCTTCTGCTTGCCTCTTCACCCCTGCACCTGCCTGCCACTCATCTCCTCACCCCCTGCCAGTCCTCCCCTGTCTGCTGTGAGACCCCCCACTGCTGGCCTCCTCACTCCCCTGCCCATCCACCCGCTGCTGGCCTCCTCACTCCCCTGCCTGCCACTGGCTTGCCACATCCTTCCTCACTCCCTTACTCCCGCAGGGAAGGAAAGTGAGGAGGGATGCTGCGAACGGCTGGGACCTCCAGAGAGGGGGGTGGAGTGGAGGATAGGAGGAAGACTTACCAGGCAGGCAGCTGGTGGGGTCCTTGGGGAAGGGGCGCAGGGAGGGAAAGAGGCGGGGCCACCACTGCCCAGGTGTCTGGTGGCGGGTCAGCGGCGGCTGCACCAGGGAAGGCTTAGTTTTCCTTGGCTTATTATACCGACCGCCCATGACTGTATCTCTTAGCTGTGTGCTTAAGAATGCAGATTGGATAGAATTTAACATTTTTGTCTCTTAGCCACATATGTAAACCCTCTGAGAGGCGCAAACTTAGTTTAGAAGTTTGATCTAGAAACGTAGCAGCTTGAAAGACCAGAGACTTTTGGTGTTAGAACACCTGAGACTCTAGCATGGTTTAGAAATATTGTTACAACATAGCTTGGCCCCATGTACACTGAAAGACCTAACTATTTGTTGAGGGATTACTATGTTGTGGCACATGCCCCCAAAATGGCAGGAAGTACACAATAGACAAGGCCTAAGCTAGAAGCAATTTCATGTCTGAGCAAGAAAGGATGAGTTATTATTCAGTCAGAAAAGTGTTTGTATAGCATGTCCCAGGAACCATGAGAGACCTAGTCAGATACAAGGGAGTCAGACAGAGGGGAAGTCAGGGGGAAGTTGTGGAAATGCACAGGCAATAAACCCAGTAGACCTAAACCACCGCAGCCTAAGGGAGATGCTATTGTTCAAGGTAAGATACACAGCAACGTGTCAGGTTACAGTGGAATTCTTCAGCCACTTTGCAACTGATTAAAAAAAAGAAACTGAAAAGGACATGAATGGCCTGAAAAACCCACAGAAAAATGTATGTGGGGGAATGAAAACTCTGAAGATCCCCTTGCTGAGTTTCTCCTAGCATCACTGTGCAGAGACCCACCAAATCGTGTAGATCCCATGCCCAAAGAACAACATGTGCTGGTCCTGAGAGGGTGGGAATTATGGTGCTGCTTCCCTACTAGTAGCCACATGCATGGATTGTCCCCTTGGTGTGCAGATTTGAAGGGGGACAGTCACATTTGGATAAGAAAACTTATAGAGAATAGCGTATACTTAGTACAAATAATAGTTCGCACATGTGTTTTCCAGTTCTCTGAAACACAAAACATGAGGTGGAGCCCAGAGGAAAGCAACCTAAACAGCACTGTGCAGGAGGTCAACTAGATGATCATGATGGTCCTTTCTGACCTGAAAGTCTATGAGCATGTTGCTACTTCAAAACACTAGAATTTGTTAAAAAAGACTTCGGCATTGACAGGCTGCATATTAACATGCACTTGGAAGGATACAGTTTTGTGCTGCATTTTGTTAGTGGGTCGGTGGACACAAATTGAACATCTATAACTGGTGTGGGTGTGGGGGCAGCAGTTCATGTTTGGCAGATGTGTACTTAAATAAGCACAATCTCCTTTAATCTCCAATACCATAAACGTTCATGTTCCCGTACCAAAATACTGTAATATTCTACAGTAATTGCTCAACACATTGCAGATGTACTCTTTTGGACCAGTTCTGCAAAACTTTTTAATATTTGTTGGATTTTAGTGAAGTATGAGATTTTCTCAACATAATCCCTACAGATTCTGGTTCTATGCATTGATTTTCTTAGCTGTGCCCTCAGTGGGTTGCAGCAACATGTTTTGGCTCTATATACTATGGCATCTTGTAGTGAAACTTACAAGATATATATTTTTTGGCATAGTTTCCACTAATATGGCTGTCATCCTTTCTAAACAGAATATTGTACTTAAAGCTTAAATAAAGGTATTTTTATTAACTAGTATGCAAATTTCAAGACATTAGAGTGGCATCTTTAGGAAGGAATATTTAGAGAGGTATCTTTCAGGACTCTAGTAGGCAACTTTAGGAAGGAAGAATGGTCCAGTGGCTGGGTGTTAGCTTAGGACTTCAGAGATCTGGTTTCAATTCTCTGCTCTGCCACAGACTTCCTGTGTGATCTTGGGCAAGTCACTAGACCGCTCTGTGTCTCGGTTCTATTTCTGTACAATGAGGATAATAGCATGTCCCTACCCCACATGGATATCGTGAAGATAAATACATTAAATACTGTGAAGCACTCAGATATTGCAGCAATTTGGGTACCTAATAAATGGAACATTAACAGCATTTCTGTACTGAATTAAATAGATCATTGCTACATCCATTGGCTGCTACTGTGCTGATATGGAGTACACCTATGGCCTAGCAGTTGTGGGACATATTCCAGAAGGGTAATGTGTTCTTTATTTGCTTATGGTTTTTAAATGTATGTATGTTTAGAGAACAGTCCATGAAAAGATCAAATAAAATGAAAATGGAGAGTACTGCAATACTTCAAATACTCAAGTTTCAGCCCTCAAATATAGCCCCTCACTGGAGAAGTTTGTTGATACCATCCTGAGCAATGCAGAAGTTCAGGTGCCTGTGGGGACTGTTTCATTATTTTATAGGACAAATGATGCCCTAAGATGTCCAGTGGATATAAGAAAGGTTGGGTGGTAAAACACTCTCCCCTACTACAACACAAACTGCCAGGCCTCCTTCGCCAGTACACCTACCAAAATAATTCTCTCTGTGCTGCCACAGACCAGGTGTTATGGAGGAGCTTGCCATGGGCAGAGGGTGGGTAGTTAGCACCCTTCTTCTGCAGCAGTGTTTCTACACCTTTTCACTTTATTTATTTTTTCTTTTTATTTCTAAACTGGGATATTGAGCCATTCTCCCCCTACTTTCCCAAGTAATCTATTGGTGTCTAATAGGACATTTCCTATGAAATAATTTTTTTTACGGGAATATGTTACCAAAGGATGTATTTTTGAATAGTATTTTAACAAATATAGAAGCACCATAGTTACTATGGTGATGAACATATTATAGATAGAGAGAACCTACTTCATTAGGGTCCATGATCCCAGAATACCGCCTGATTCTCATGATCATTATCAGTTGATAAGGTTTAAAAATGGGGCTTAGCAAGTTCACCCGTTAGTTTTCCAACCACTTCTAGGGTTTCCCCATGTGACATAGGCCCAGTGCATTCTGGGAAGCCCAGGAGACCATGTGTGTATTGGGAACTTGCAGCAATAGGAGGAAGATACTGGAATCTGTTGAGAGAGCCAATTATATGAGCTGTTTGGGGCAAATTAGGCATCACATATCTAAACTCAGGGTTTGGATAAGGCTAAATGCATCTCTTTAATATGTATCATGAAGAGTTACGATTTATTTGTGCAGCTTTAATTAAAAGAAGCTTATTGTGTGCTACATAACTCATAAAGAATTGCTACAGAAAGTGTTGAAGAAATGCAAATGCAGCCTGTAACCTCCAAAAACCAGTAAATGCTTTGAGAGGCTTAAATTAAATTGTTGTATGTTACAAAATCAGGAAACAAGATTTCAGGGGCTGAGCTGATTTATGTGGACCCATTAGCAGTTCACTAGTTCATTGTTTTACATATGGCAGATTCCATTTGAGATAGTTTCATTCAGGCTGCAGATTCAAATGGATATGGTATTCTTCCTCTCCTAAATTGTTGTGAAGTATTACTTTATTATTATTATTATTATTAGTCATCCCATTCTCCTATCTCCCACATATTAAGTCAGCAAAATACATATTTTGGGGCATAGATTTCTTATTTAACACTGATATATCTTTCAGATAGGGGGCACTGTGGCTACCACCCACTGTCAACAGAAGGAGCACTAATGTTGTCAAGGTGACAGGCTACATTGGCATTTTAAGCACTGTGTACTTTAAAGGAGTTCTACCCAACATGGTTCTCAAAATGCTAGTGGCTGCCAGCATCCTTTTTACACTAGTGCTCCTGCTGTTGTTACCACTGTTTGATGCAACTGAAAAAGTGGTATCAATGATGTGACATTTAGGGCAAAAAGCCTCAGTGTCTACAAGCCCTGTGTCTCTGTGAGCTTGTCTGCATTTCAATTAAATATAACTTTGGTTCAGGATTTATCACACATGTATCACACAAGTCCAATATCACACAAGTCCAATAAAAAGGATTGTATTTACCTTTACAGGATACCAGCACCGAAAGCCCCATCCATGAACATCCTCTCTGAAGTAGTTACTGAAGCTTTTGGAGTAGCATTAGTTGGTTATGTAGCATCACTAGCCCTGGCTCAAGGCTCTGCTAAACAGTTCAAATACTCTGTGGATGATAACCAGGTAAAGCATTTTCTTTTCAGTGCCAGCAGATCATAAAATGACTGTGATGTTTTGGGAACACGCAGTAGTCAGGAGCTTAGCAGGTGACTGAGGCATTTCGTTTGTTATCATGAGGACTTTAGATGATAGTAGTAAACACCCAGTGCAGTCCAAATGAGCTCTGCAAAGCTTCCTAGTCTGTGAAGGATGCTACTAATTCTAAGGGGACACAAGCCTCAGTAGCAGCCATGGAATGTTGCATTAGGCACCAACAGTGGTCAACTTGGGTTTCAGTGTGTTCTTCAGTGACGTAACATGAGGCAGCTTCTTCCAAGGCAACTCAGTGAGAGAAGAATTTTACATGGGCCACAGACTGAAGAAACAGAGCAGTAACTGGAGTGAGCCAGGAACTTACAGGCCCATATGCTCACCTGATCTTCTTACAAAATGGGGCTTGTGCAAAGTATGAGTTCCATTTCAAGTAAAGGATGATTCTTTATAAGAAGTAGAAGCAGTGCTGAAGACACTATAAAGGCTGTTCTTCATAAGAAGTAGAAGACAACGCTGCCAAACCCTCAGCTGCAGAGGCTGCCAGTCCTAAGGGTTCCAATCCTCAAGGGACAGGCTGAAGTGTCAGTGGACTGTTTACTGCTTATGCCACTCTGCTGCTGGATGTGGCATAGGAGCTACATCAGGTTGGCTGAGTGCTCTGGGAAGATAATAACTTAAGCAGTTGGTGGGAAATACATGTACTCAGGGTCAAGTTCTCTGTTGGATATGGTCCCATAGGTAGAGCTGATGGGGAATTTTTCAGCTAATCCTTTTTCGTCAAAAAAGTCCATTACTCAAAACCAAAATTGTTCATGAAACACAAAGTCAGTTTAGCTGAATCTCCCAACTCCAAAAAATGTTGAAAAAACATTTTAAAATTATCTAAATATTCCATTTTGACCTTTTCAAAACAAAAACGTTCAGTTTTCCAGTTCAGACTGACTTTTTGTTTTGAAATGTAAGCTAAATAGACTGAAAAAAGGTTAAACAAAAGAAAAAAGGTCAGAATCAAAACAAAACATTTTGAACTTATCAAAAGAAAATGTTTTGATTGACCCAAAGTGGGGAAAAAATGTTCAGCTTGCTAACTATTTTGAGATTTTGGCTTTTCATCATGAGTCAAGACTGTAAAAATGTTTGAACTCTCTAAAATACTAACAGGATGGGAAAACTGTTCCCTTCCCAGTTCTGTCTGCCTGTGGGACTGAAATGCCAACCCTGCCTTCCTGCCCCATTGTGGAGCAGTTTGAGGTGGATAAGCCATGGCTGAACAGTGAATGATTGGCCTTGTAGATGGAGACTTATTTGAATGTCTTTGCAGACACCTCAGTTTTGCTTGAACCAGCCCATGTCTTTTGCAAACTCTGACATCAGTACGTCATTGAGACATGGATGTGTGAATGTCTTCTTTGCTCATGTTTTAAAAAATATTTCTGCGCGCAATCTTCCATTAGTTCTGATTTATGTCACAAAGCCATGTTTTGTGGGGAAGGGAGAGAGAAGATGGATGGCCTGAGTGATGGCAGGCATTATAGCTGCAAATGGCAGGAATAAGATAATGCCTCCAGGGGGACTTAGTCTGCAGCCCTTGCTGTGTCTTTAGTAAATGTGTAGCATACACATGCACAGCTGAGCCCTCCAGCAGCTTGCTGGTCTGCAGGTGGGAGGACACGTGGTCATGCAGGTGGCTGGATATGCCACCTATGGGGCAGTAAGTACTGCCAGCGCCATTAGTGGTCTCAGTGTTTGGGGAAGAGGAAAAAGGTCTCCCTGGGCTCTCTCCCTGCCTCAGTGCACTGATGCTGAAGAACCATAATCAGACACTGTATTAGAACACAATGTTCACCTCAGTATGCAGCTTGCAAGATCTTGGATGGCTTCCTCGCCCCAACTAGGCTTTTCATGTCTAAGTCTTTGCTCAGAGGTAGCTGCATTTCAGTCCTGGGTGAGGTATAAAGCACATTAGTCATGAAAGATACTATATAAATGCAAGTTACCATTTCTACTACTCCATTAAAACTTGCTCTCAAAGAAGGTAATTAACCATTCTTTTTCAATATTTCTTATTGAAAGTGGAGATTGGCCTGAGCATACTTCAGAGCTAAACACCCCCAAACTTTGGGCTGTTCAAAATGGATCTGGATGTAAATGTTGTGGTTGGAGCCAATCTCTAACAACTAGGAATGCCATTTATTCTCCAAACACAATATAACTCCCTGATCTACCTTCGAATCTAGCTAAGCATTTGGATCATTCAGGTTATAACAGAGTCATGAGAAAGCATACAGTGCTGGAAGATCTATTACACTGTATGTTACAGTTTTTCCCTAAAAGTTTGTTCTTTATAATTGCTAATATTTACATAGAGAATTCCTGTGTTGGCAAGAAATGTTGAAATGACAGAACAATAGAATAAAATAATATATTCTTTTTAAAAACTTTGCAGGAGCTTTTGGCTCATGGCCTCAGCAATGTGATTCCTTCATTTTTCTTTTGCATACCAAGCGCTGCAGCGATGGGACGTACTGCACTTTTATATAGCACCGGAGCAAAAACACAGGTAACTCATTTGATTTAAATTGGTAAGAAAGCTGAGATTATTGTGCTGCTTATCATGCACTATACTGATTGTATCCACTATATTTTGTTGTTCTCCATTTACCTGTAATGTGGAGGTCTCAGGAACCAACTTCTGAAGCCATTATCAATACCATTCCTTCAAACTTCAGATTAAATCAGTTGGTGACAGGAGGATGCCCCTCATTCCTCCCAGCAACCAAGCATGTCTCACCAATACACAATTTCAGTTTAATAACTCAGGTGGGGAGAGGCATGAATTTGCTCTTTAGCTTTAATAATCTGTATGGCATCACAGTTATGTGCTACAGCCATGCTAAAAAAGCAAATGGGTTGATTTATTAATTAATCTACTTAGATTTTAATTCATTATGAGCTTTCAAGTCTGGTAAACAGAACTCCAGACCTTGTATTTCTCCCCTGCTTGGATACACTGAAGAAACTACACTTACGCTCTTGCATTTTTATTTTCATTTTTCACCATCATGACTAAAGGGCCCTGTAGTGGTGTGTGAGGGATTTCACTTTATATGTTGAGCTGGTTTTTAGTTTTAGTTTTATTGGATTTAAATAAATAAATCAGATTGTGACTAAAATTAATTAAATCCAACTTTCCAGTTGTTTTATTTTCTCTTTATTTTGAAAATCAACCTTGAAAGCCACTCCTAAAAAGTCGTAATCTGCCCACTGAAGGTTTGTGTCGCTGTGTGCTTGTATTGTGTCACAATGTGCTTATATTGTCCTGTACATATCAAGCCTGTGGAGATGACATGTTCAGCTTTTCCAGGGCAGATATTAGCTGTTTCAGTTTTTGACAAAGCAATTCAGATAACAGGAACTAAACCTGAGATTGATCAGAACTACAGTTCTAAAAGTATAACTTTACTAATTGTGCTCATCATGTTAACTCAACCATATGAACACCATTTGGGGCAAAGCTATGCTTGTCCCTAATGGCAGTTCATGACCTAAATGAGGGTAGATTATTACCCATGGTGTACACTTGTAGATTATGCAGAACCCTTATCATATCATGTTTGTTTTGTACAAGTTGTCATAATACCTAGAAGTTATTTAGGTCTTTATATTTCCAAAACACTGTTCAGGTATTTATTGATAACCCATACAGTACCCTGTGAGCTAGGTAAATTATACTGAATAATTTAAACAATAAACATCTTTAAAAAGCATTAATATTCAAAGAAAGTTCTAACGCTGTTTATTGAATGTTTCAAGTAATGGAGTCTGACAACATATAGTGCTTCACCATCCTTGTGCAGCATCATTTTCCATTATCCACCCAGATCCATTGTATCCATGCTTCAGACCCACAGTTCACTGTAGAATTCATTTTAGTTCCTGCATATAAGAACTTAAGAACGGCCATTCTGGGTCAGACCAATGGTGCATCTAGCCCAGTATCTTGTCTTCCCACATTGGCCAATGCCAGGTGCTTCAGAGGGAATGAACAGAACAGGTAATCATCAAGTGATCCATCCTCTGTCGCCCATTCCTAGCTTCTGGTCACCATCCCTGCCCATCCTGGCTAATAGTCATTGATGGACCTATCCTCCATGAATGTATCTAGTTTTTTTTAACCTTGTTATAGTCTTGACCTTCACAACATCCTCTGGCAAGGAGTTCCACAGACTGACTGTGTGTTGTGTGAAAAAAATGCTTCCTTTGTGTGTTTTAAACCTGCTACCTATTAATTTCATTTGGTGACCCCTAGTTTTTGTGTTATGAGAAGGAGTTATGATTTTATAGACCTCGATCATATCCTCCCTTAGTTGTCTCTTTTCCAAGCTGAAAAGTCCCAGTCTTATTAATCTCTCCACATACAGAAGCCGTTCCATACCCCTAATCCTTTTTGTTGCCCTTTTCTGAACCTTTTCCAATTACAATATATCTTTTTTGGGATGGGGCGACCACATCTGCACACAGTATTCAAGATGTGGGTGTACCATGGATTTATATAGAAGTCAATATGATATTTTCTGTCCTATTATCGATCCCTTTCTTAATGATTCCCAACATTCTGTTTGCTTTTTTGACTGCCGCTGCACATTGAGTGGATGTTTTCAGAGAACTCTCCACAATGACTCCAAGATCTCTTTCTTGAGTGGTAACAGCTGATTTAGACCCCATCATTTTATATGTATAGTTGGGATTACGTTTTCCAATGTGTATTTATCAGCATTGAATTTCATCTGCCATTTTGTTGCCCAGTCACCCAGTTTTGTGAGATCCCTTTGTAACTCTTTGCAGTCTGCTACACTATCTTGTGTAGTTTTGTATCATCTGCAAATTTTGCCACTTCATTGTTTACCCCTATTCACAGATCATTTATGAATGTTGACTAGTACTGGTCCCAGTACAGCCCTTAGGGGACCCCGCTATTTACCTCTCTCCATTCTGAAAACTGACCATTTATTTCAATCCTCTGTTTCCTGTTCTTTAATCAGTTACTGATACATGTGAGGACCTTCCCTCTTATCCAGCCATCTTCTAGGAAGTTGTAGAGGCCTGTATGGTTGAAGGGAAGTATAAAGAGAATGAAATCATGATGTTTCCCATGGACTTGATTGGTTATGACTCCTTTGTGTTTGTCTGGTGGCATAACGATGCCAAAATGCATCTGTAAGTCACCTGCAGAGAGTTCCCTGGCATAGGGGAACTACCTGCTGGCACACCTCTGCCCTGGCAAGCCCTACTCCTTCCGCCCAGGGTAGGAACAGCGAACTGGAGCTTTGCTTCGCTCTGTCAGTGGCGTAACTTAAAAGTACCAAGGAGCCAGAGGCGCCAACTTTTCAAAGTGCTGGAGTGCTCGACCCCTGGCTCTGACCCAGGCCCTGCCCCCACTCCACCCCTTCTCCCAGGCTCCGCCCCCTCTTTGCCTCATCCCACCCAGTTCTGCTCCCTCCCCTGAGCATGCTGTGTCCTCACTCCTCCTACTTCTCTCCCAGTCTCCTGCAGTCACAAAACACCTGTTCGCGGTGGGCGGGAGGCATGAGCAGAAAGGCAGAGACGCTGATCCATGAGGCCCACCAGCAGGTGGGAGGCACTGGGGGTGGGTGGTCCGTGAGCTAATAGGGGGGTTGCAGGTGGGTGGTCCACACCCACCATTTTTTCCCCATGGGTGCTCCATTCCAAGCAGGTGTGTGTGTGCCGCGTGCACGTCAGCTGGAAGATTTTTCCCCTAGCAGCGTCCTTAGGGTCAGCCTGGGGTGGTGCCTTCTTGGCACCCAATATCGGGCCCCGCTGACCCCGCACCTCCTCAGTTCCTGCTTACCGCCTGTGATGGCTAGCTGGAACTTTGCTCACTCTTAGAGCAAGCGCCTTAGTAGTGTCTTTCTTCTTACTGTACATAGTTCAATAGTTATTCTCTAGAGTTATACTTTTTCATATAGTTAGTAGTGATTTGTTAGATAGTTCGTTTCTCCTTCAGTGGTATGCCCGGGTCTCCGGGATTTAAACTCTGTGAGTCCTGTGGAAAGTTTATGCCCAAGAGTGATCCTCAGTCGTCTTTCTGGGGGTGCCTTGGTGAGACTCACCAAAAGGACAAGTGCCGCATTTGCAAGGGTTTCCGCACAAGAACCCATAAGGACAGAGAGCAGAGACTAAAACTCCTGCTCATGGAGGCGGCTCTGAGACCGCAATCCGACTTGGGACCCAAGGACCCAGCACCGAGCACGTCCTCTTCGGTGTGCAGCGCTCCGGCGCCAATGGCATGCGAAACGGGCCCGGATAAGGACTCTAAAGCCCACCGGCATCGCCACTACTCGGGCCATAGGGCGTCGGCCTCAGTTTGGCACCATTCTCCATCTCCAGTGCCGGTAAAGAAGAAGAGGCCAGTGAGGGACCGATCACTGCCCTTGAAACCTAAGGGGCCAGCGCTGTCCGCGAGTGGCTCGGGACAGACCACCTCCGCCTCGCTTCTGCCCAGGGTTTTGTCGACTCCTGCCCCGGCTGGGGTCCAGTTGAGTCCGGAAGGTCTATTCAACAGGAGGCCTGCAACTTCGTATAGCCAACCAGCAGGCCATAGTAAGCTGCTATGGGCATAACACCTGCTCATCTATGGCTAAGTTTACAGAACTTCTGCCCGAAGAAGCTCGGGGGGAGTTCTCTGCGCTCATGGAGGAGGGGAAACTGGTCTCCCAAGCGTCTTTGCAAGCGGCCTTGGATGCAGTGTATGCGGCCTCCCACACTTTGGCCACAGGGGTAGTTATGGGGAGAGGCTCCTGGCTACAGGTCTCTGGTCTTCTCCACAAGGTCCAGCAGACCATTCAAGACCTTCCCTTCGAGGGTGTAGCTCTCTTCTCCAAGAAGATGGATAAGAGACTTCACAGCTTGAAGGACTCGAGGGCTACCCTTCTTTCGCTGGGGCTTCACACGCCTGCTACCCAGCGCAGATATTTTAGGCCTCAACCTGCCCCTCGTCCTTACCAACCCCAAAACTGCCAGGACGACTGTGTAGGCAGAACAGGAGCACTCGGAGGAGGCAACGCCCTCCCTCTGGACAAAGCTCGGGCCAGCCCAGGGCCCCACCGGGCTCTAGACCACCCTTTTGAGGGTACGGTCGAGGACAGCTTGCCAGTACGACCTTTGGATCCTTCCCATCTTACTTTCTCATCCTGTCTATCCCCTTTCTACCGTGCCTAGTCTCGAATTCAGACTGATGGGTGCTCTGCACGGTAGGGAGGGGATATTCCATCCAATTCTGTACCCTCCCACCCCCCCCCAATCCCCTTCCCCATCCCTCTTCAGGATCCCTCTCATGAGCAACTTCTAATTCAAGAGGTGCAGTTCCTCCTCTCGGTAGGGGCAGTGGGGGAGGTTCCTCAGGAGCTAAGGGGCAAGGGTTTCTACTCCCGGTATTTCCTCATACTGAAGGCCAAAGGGGGCCTCAGACCCATACTGGACCTGCGACACCTCAACAAATACATAAAGAAACTCAAGTTTCGCATGGTCTCACTAACCTCCATTATCCCCTCACTGGATCCAGGAGACTGGTACGCCACCCTCGACTTGAAGGATGCGTATTTTCATATCGCAATAGTCCCACATCACAGATGCTACCTTAGGTTCGTGGTGAACAGAGGCCACTACCAGTTTGCCGTCCTCCCATTCGGACTGTTGACTGCCCCCTGAGTATTCACAAAATGCATGGCAGTCGTCGCGGCGTTCCTGCGCAAGCGCCAGATACAGGTCTTACCATACCTCGATGACTGGCTGATCAAAGGTCGCTCGAGAGCCCAGGTGGAGGCTCAGGTCGAGTTTATAAGGAGGATCTTCCTTGACTTAGGTCTTCTCTTGAATGAGGAGAAATCTACTCTGTCCCTAGTGCAGAGGACAGGGTTCATAGGCGCGGTCCTGGACTCTACCCAAGCCAGGGTGTACCTCCCAAAGGCCAGGTTTCACTCACTTCAGGACATCACACAGAGCCTCAGATGGTTCCCCACGATGTCAGCAAGAAACTGTCTAAAGCTGCTGGGACACATGGCCTCCTGCACATACGTGGTGCAGCATGCCAGGCTCAGGCTGCGCCCACTCCAGTCTTGACTGGCATCGGTGTACCAACCAGTCAGAGATGCTTTGGACAGGATCGTAACCCTGCCCCGCCTGGTACTAGATTCCCTCCTATGGTGGCTAGACCCTCAAATGGTTTGCGCAGGGGTGCCTTTTGCCAGCCCTCACTCACCTTGGTGTCAGACGCCTCAGATCTGGGTTGGGGGGCTCACCTAAGGGACCTCAAGACCCAAGGCCTCTGGTCTCCAGTGGACCTCGCTCTTCACATCAATGTCAAAGAGCTGAGGGCAGTGCGTCTGGCATGCTACACTTTCAAAATGCACATAATGGGCAGATGTGTTTCAATCCTCATGGACAACACCTCGGCAATGTTTTATATCAACAAACAGGGGGGTGCACGCTCCTCTCCTCTGTGCCGAGAAGCCCTTGCGCTTTGGGACTTCTGCATAGAGCACTCGATCCACCTGCAGGCTTCATACCTCCCAGGGGTGCGAAACACGCTGGTGGACAGCCTCAGCCGGACCGTCAATGGCCATGAGTGGTCCCTTCGGCCAGACGCAGTGAGCTCAATCTTCTGGTTCTGGGGCTATCCCCAGGTAGACCTGTTCGCCACTCCGGGCAACAGGAAATGTCAGACATTTTGTTCCCTCGGGAGCCACGCCTCGGGGTCCATCAGGGACACCTTCCTTCTCTCATGGGAGGGCTGCCTGCTATATGCTTTCCCACCCATCCCCCTAGTCCACAGGGTGCTCCTCAAGATCCGCAGGGACTGGGCCCAAGTCATACTAATAGCGCCGGCATGGCTGCATCAGCACTGGTTCACCTTGCTCCTGGAAATGTCTATAGTGGCCCAACTCACCTTACTGCTGGTCACCGACCTGATCACACAGGACCAGGGCTGACTCCGGCACCCGAATCTGGAGTCGCTCCACCTTACGGCCTGGATGCTCCATGGCTAAGTGCCGCAGAGCTGTCTTGTTCGGACCAGGTCAGACAAGTCCTCCTGGGTAGTAGAAAGCCCTTCACCAGGGCTACTTATCTGGCCAAGTGAAAAAGGTTTTCCATCTGGGCGGAGCAGCGTAGTCAGTCGCCACTCCTCACCTCCATACCGTTCATACTGGACTATGTCCTTCACCTAAAGCATCAAGACTTATCTTGGTCATCAATAAGGGTCCACTTGGTCGCTATCTCTGCCTTCCATCCGGGCTCAGATGGTCTCTTGGTCTTTGCAAACCCTATGGCCAGTTGTTTTCTCTAGGGTTTGGACAGGCTCTTCCCACACACAAGTCAGCCTGTCCCTGCCTGGGACCTCAATTTAGTCCTCTCCTGGCTTACAGGCCTGCCATTTGAACCTCTGGCCACCTGCTCCCTGTTATATCTCTCATTCAAGGTCGCGTTCCTTGTGGCAATTACCTTGGGTCGACGGGTTTCGGCGCTCAGGGCCCTCATGTCTGAGACCCCTTACACAGTTTTCATAAGGATAAGGTCCAGCTCAGGCCTCATCCGGCTTTTCTCCCGAAGGTCGTCTCCCATTTTCACATGACCCAGGACATCTTCCGCCCAGTGTTTTATTCCAAGCCACACTCCTCCAATAGGGAGTGCAGGCTGCACTCACTGGACGTGCGTAGGGCCTTAGCCTTCTACATAGAGAGAACTAAGTCGCGGACAGAATGAAGGGCCTTCCGGTATCCTCTCAATGCATATTGTCATGGATAACGTCCTGCATTAGGGAGTGCTATACCCTGGCAAAGGAGCCCGCTCCGCAGATAACCGCTCACTCTGCCAGGGCCCAGGCCTCCTCTGCAGCATTCCTGGCACAAGTCCCTATTCAGGAAATTTGCAGGGCAGCCACGTGGTCCTCGATACATACATTTACACAATTGCACTATGCAATTACACAACAGTCCAGGGACGATGCGGCTTTTGGGCGAGCCGTGCTCTTTTCTGTGGATAACTCTGACCCCACCTGCTGAGCTCTAGTTTGTGAATCACCTGCTTGGAATAGACATGAACAATCACTAGAAGAAGAAAAGACGGTTACTCACTTTCTCGTAACAGTTGTTCTTCGAGATGTGTTGTTCATTCCATTCCAATACCCACCCTCCTACCCCTCTGTCGGAATAGTCAGCAAGAAGGAACTGAGGGGGTGGAAGGGTCGGCGGGGCCCGACATTGGGTGCCGTGAAGGCGCCACTCCAGGGGGCGCCCAGGCCGACCCTACGGACACTGCTAGGGGGAAAATCTTCCGGCTGGCGTGCACGCGGCGCACACACACCTGCTTAGAATGGCCATGAACAACACATCTCAAAGAACAACAGTTACAAGAAAGTGAGTAACTGTTTTTTTTCTTGGTCCATATAGGTGGAGTGGCAAGCACAGGCTTGTCACAAACAACTGTTGATGACAAAAAGCAGAGCAGAGACAGGGGGTGTTCTGAATGCATAGAAGTCAGTGGACTTGTTCGTATGTCATGAGAGAGATATAAGGAGCCCCACAAGGACTAGTACCAGCCCTATTTGAATCTATAGTGGACTTCATGTTTTCCAAGAACCTCTACTTGGACTTAGTAGGATCCTGAGCATTTTCCTCTTCATGATACCTTAATCTAGCAACTGCAGGAAGTGAGACCTGGATCCCAGGCCTCATAAATATTCCCTCAAGTGATACTGGCATCTGTCTTTTACCTCTCTTTTCCCTGACATTTTATTTTTGGTGAAATCATCTCTTAAATTGTACTCTGATAACTCTAATAAAAACACACACTATTAGTATCATAATAAAGCAAGCAGGCATATATTTATCACCAAAACCTGGAGAGGATTTGATTGAGATCTAGAGTACATTTTGAGGTTTTATTCCTACTGTTAAAATATTCCTACTGTTAAAACAGGATTATTTTGTTTTGTAATTTTCCACCAGATTAACACTATGTGATAATACATGCATTTATCTAGATTCATGTTTCCTGCATAAACCATTAACTTTCTGATATTGGGGATTATGATTTACTGATGCATCAACCAAAGGTAAAATACTTCAGTGATAATACAGGAATCTTTGTTGATACCTGATCGTACAAGGGAAATGTTTTCTCCTAATAAAAGAAGAAAAGAGCTCCTCCTATTCAAAAAACAACTAACAGATCTAGAGTTCTTCAAATATCACTGTTGCATTGTTCAATGTAGGGATAAACTTTTGTGAAACGACACAATATGAAGGGCATGTTACCATAAATACAAGTACAGAATGGGCATACATTACTGCAGATCTTGTGAAATTACTGCACACACATGCACCATTTCAGTAGCTGATTTTACAGGTCATGTAGTGGTTTGTGCCTATGTATCTGACATCAAGACCAAGCCCATTGTTGATATCTGATCCAGATATTTGTGCGTTTAGTGGCTAGAGGAAATCCACCAGAGGTGAAAATTTAAATTATCCACACATGGTTCCAATCCACAGATTTGATAGCCAAAATCTCTAGCCTGTCTCCTTTATCTTTTGTGTTTATAATGTTCTGTTATTCTGACCATTTCTGACAAACCCAGCATATTCAACTGACTTTCAATTGGCTATAAATATTGAATAACATTATTGTGCTTTCCCTGTGTTTGTTTGTTTTTAGATGGCTTGCCTTATATCTTGTATTTTGATACTTGTGGTGATCTATGCAATAGGACCAATGCTATACTGGCTGCCCATGGTACAGTACTTGTTTTTATTTTTTAGAAGTTTCATTGCACATTTCCAAACAACATATACGTCTTTCATAGAAGATGGTCCTCCTTTTGAAATGAATACACAGCTCCCATAAACACTAGTGTTAATGGCATAATAGAAAGAGGAGAATACACCTCTGAAAGTCTTAAAATACCTAGATTACCCCCAAATTCCTTTGTGTTGGGAAATATTTTCTTTTAACTTAATTTTGATCTGTCACTGGTCTAAATATATGGGGCCAGATTCTAGCTCACGTAAATTGGCATAGCTCCACTGAAGTCAAAGTAGTTGCACAAGTTTACTGCAGCACAGAATGTTCGTGATTTTGCTTTACAAATAAATTTGTCCCACACTGAAGCTAGTAGCCAGTGATCTAACCTTTATTACAGAAAGTTATGAACTGTTCTTGTTTTGCTGTACAAGGAATTATGGATAAATAACTCAGTCTCTCCTGCACTGAGAGGTGGATAGTCCAAATAGAGTTTACCATGTAAAATATCTAGCCATAAACGTTGTAAGTTAACACCAATTCATTACTAGAAAAAGGCCAAAGCCACTAAAATTCACATCCAAACTTCTCCAAAGTTTGAGGGTGTTCATATTGGGTATTTGGGGTCAGCCATGTCTTACTTTTACAGTGTTTTATTGTTGATACAGTGCCATAGGAGTGCAAGGTGCTTTCCACATATGGGGTCCAGACCTGAAATAGATTAAAGTCTAATTACATAATTTGCATTCTGAGCCACTGGATAAGGGATGCACCATGTGGCTTTGTTTTAATCATTTCCTGGTTTCCTTTATGTGTGTGTAGCTTGTATTTTAACCTTTGCCTGTTTTCCTGTTTGTGGTGGTTTTCTTTTAGCATTTTGCCCTTTTCCTTTTTTATTTAACTCTATCCTATTACCCTTATTTTGAATCTTTCTTATTCCCCCTTTCCTACCTCCATATTTTGAGTCTATCCCTTCCTATTCCTGTTTTGATTCAGTCCTCCTCCTTCCTGCTCTGAGGCCCATAAATTAAAAAGACTAATGCAGGGTTGGCCTGGTATCTCCACTCTGCCTGCTAAGTCTCTGGATTCTCCACTCCAGGACCCTTCTGCAGAAGGTTGTGAGGAGTGGGATTGCTGCTTAATAGGGCAGGAATCATATCAGTGCCTGGAAGTTACTAGCTCCTTTGCTCCGGAGACCCTCCCCAGACAGCAACAGAATGTGGGCCTGCTGCTACTAAGGCAGATGGGCCTGGTATTTCTCTTCAGAAGTTCCTGTCTTCTTCAGTCCAGGGCCTCTCCTATATGGTCTGTTAAGGTGACGGGAGCGGGTCTGGTGCCTGTGCCCTTGATATCTGTACTCATTACATTTTTGAAACATTTTCCTTGGTATTTCTAGGATTAATTTATAATATCAGTTACTAATTTAGGAAAAATGCCAATGTTGCTACCTAGCAATTCCCTAATAGCCTTTTCCCTTTTCTTCTTTTTCAGTGTGTTCTAGCAAGTATCATTGTTGTAGGTCTAAAGGGAATGCTAATGCAGTTCCGTGATTTAAAAAAATATTGGAATGTGGATAAAATAGATTGGGTAAGTGAAATGTAACCTAAGGATGTTTTCCAGACGGAGGCTTAAACACATGCTTGCTAAACAAAACCTTAATACTGCTTTAGGCTGAAAACAGATATGCCAGTGCAAGCCAGTTTTTTATATACTGCCAGCTTATTTTCTCAATCACAAAATAGCAGCATTTGACATTTTAATTGCCTTTATAAGAAACAGGAATGGAATTTTGGCAAATTATTAAGGATAAAGCATAATTTAAGATGAAAAAAGTTTATGCAGTCAGACCTGCTTAATCAGAATGGATTTAGAATGTCCAATTTTGTATGTATACAAATCCCTAGGTTAGCTAGTCAACACAGTTTTGCTGGTATGGAAGTGTAAAAAAATCTGGTATTCCACCCTGGTACGTGGAATGAAAACTATACAGGACATATAGAAATAAAAGTACAAAAGATGTGGAAATAGATATTGTGTGCTTCTAATGATGTTGCATAGATCTTAATTCAGATGAAAATAGTATTAGATATGGTAGATGCTTTCCCGTTTGCAGAGTAAAACAGATTTTGTTTGGTTAAAATAAAAGACTCCATAGAAAGGAATGTGAAATGGAGCTAGGGTGACCAGATGTCCCTGTTTTATAGGGACAGATATTTGGGGCTTTTTCTTATATAGGTGCCTATTACTCCCCACTCCATCTCGATTTTTCACACTTTCTGTATGGTCACCCTAAATGGAGCAGATTGGTGAAACAAAAAGTAATGCAGTCATACTCTAATAGAAATCAGAACAGGACACTAGTATTCACAGCAAAGAATCCCTATCAAATATTCAGAGCAAACATGGCTGACACCCAGTCAACTGGTGGTGGTGGTGGTGATTTGTTGAGTGTTGGTCTGATTATCACATGTTTCAGGAGGGCCAGTAGATTTCCCTTTCTTAGGGAGACATTGTATATCTTTGCCCGGCAGTGGAACTGCAGTTCCTTACAAGACTCTATATTATAGCTATTGGTTTGGATATCTCTTGAAACGTTTCAAAAGTCTGTTTGTGATCACTGTATGTAATTCCGTTAAAGAGTGTTAATGGTTGCATCCTTCTGTTCTGTTTATGGGAGGCCATCTTAGATTCTTCTGGTCTCTTCAGGGAAATAGGATCTCAGATGGCAGGAGCTGTTCACAGGAGTTGCATTAAAAGTCTGGACTGATAACTTTTAGGGATAGTTCAGCTGGGTGATAATTTTCAGACTAACGGAGGAGGAGGATCGCTGGGTCTCATCCACAGGTGTGGCTTAGTCTTTTATGAATTCTGTGTGCTGCAAGTGGTAAAGTTCTGGGCCTGTGTTGTGCGACCTACATTCTAGTCTGTCTTTTATATACTTGATACTGGTTGCCAGAGATCCCAAGTGGTCTGTGTGGATGATGTGGAGAGAGGTTGTATTTCTGGAGAAGTAAATTGATGTCAATCGGTAGGAGACTATATAACTATTCCATCAACACGTTATTCTAATGACTAGATGGTGTTTTCGACCAGGATATTCTGGAAGCTCACCTGTCTCATAATCTTTCAGAGGCAGATTAGCCTGGTTGATTCTTTTTCCCTTGTGGCAAGGTTAGAAATCTTTGATATCTGTTTAGATGAAAGAAGAAAAGGAGGACCTGTGGCACCTTAGAGACTAACAAATTTATTTGAGCATAAGTTTTCGTGAGCTACAGCTCACTTAAAGCTTATGCTCAAATAAATTTGTTAGTCTCTAAGGTGCCACAAGTCCTCCTTTTCTTCCTGCAGATACAGACTAACATGGCTGCTACTCTGAAACCTGTTTAGATGAAGTGAAGGTCAGACAAGGCTACAAGCATGGTTATTACACCCAGGTTATCTATCACTAATGTTAAGATAAAATCAAGAGTGTATTCAGCTGTGAATATGCCTGGAATGTGTCTTGGAGAATCTCAAGCTTACCATTGTGGACATGAGGTCGTGAGCCATTGGGATGTGGGTGTTGTCAGCATATGTGTTGAAGTCTCCTAGGAGAATAATTTAGGTTATCCACTGCCAGGCTTGTCAGTAGTTCTGTTAGCTCCTAAAGGAACCAAGAAGGCTTGTGTATGGAACAGTATAATTTCCATGCTGATTCCATCTCTGGATTCTTGTTTGTTGAATATATTAGAACAATAATTCATCTTTGGCTAGCTGTATCATCACCTCTGTTCAGTCTTTAAAATGAAATGGTAAAGAATATTGCTCTAGATAGTACAATTCAAATTGAAAGACTGTCTTCTTTTGTAAATGGAAGTGCTGAGCTTATATAATAGAATTGTTTGAGGAGACCCACCAAGACCCAAGTAATATGAGTGACTACAATTAGTGCTGATTTTGGAATGTATTGGATCCCAGCAGCAATTGACAGTATATTGGAAATGAAAACAGTCTATTGCCTAGGTTTTTAAGTGTTTTGAAGATAGGAACTATACTAAAAACATTTAGAAATAATTAGCAACTGTCCTTTTGGAACAGATGTGAATAAAGAGCATTTAAAAGGGTGTGTTTCATGTAACATAGAAGTCAAGATTGTTATGCTCATTGGTTTGGCAAATACAGTATCTGGAAATAGAATATTAGATATTATGTCAAATTATTATCTTTCTTTTTCATAAAAAGGGGAACAAATCAGACCCTGGGGAATTATAGACAGGTCAGACTAACTTTGTTACTTGGAAAGACACTAGAATAAATGATTAAACAATCAGTTTGTAAGTACCTAGAAGATAATAGGTTTATAAGAGATAGCCAGCATGGATTTGTCAAAAACAAATCATGCCAAACCAACCTTATTTTCTTCTTTGACAGTGTTACTGGGATAGTGGATAAGGGGAAAGCAGTAGACATGATCTATCTTGATTTTAGTAAGGCTTTTGATACTGTCCCACGTGACATTCTCATAAGTAAACTAGGGAAATGTGGTCTAGATGAAGTTACTGTAACATAGGTGCACACCTGGTTGAAAGACTGTACTCAAAGAGTAGCTATCAATGGTTCACTGTCAAACTAGGAGGATGTATCTAGTGGGAACCCACGGGAGTCAGTCCTGGGTCCAGTACTATTCAATATTTTTATTAATGACTTGGATAATGGGGTGAAGCATATGCTTATAACATTTGCAAATAACACCAAGCTGGGAAAGGTTGTAGGCACTTCAGAGGACACGATTATAATTCAAAACAACCTTGATAAATTCGATGATTAGTCTGAAATCAACAAGATGAAATTCAATAAAGACAAGTGCAAAGTATTTTGCTGATGAAGGAAAAACAAATGCACAACTGAAAAATGGGGAATAACTGGCTAGGTACAGAACCACTGAAAAGGACTTGGGGAAGTGGATCACAAATTGGATACGAATCAACAATGTCATGCAGTTGTGAAAAAGGCTAATATCATTCTGGGGTGTATTAATAAGAGTGTTGTGTGTAAAACACGAGAGGTAATTGACCCCCTCTACTTAGCACTGGTGAGGCCTCAGTTGGAATACTATGTCAAGTTCTGGGCTCCACACTTCAGGAAAGATGGGAACAAAGTGGAGGGAGTCCAGAGGAGAGCAACAAAGATGACAGAAGGTTTAGAAAACCTGACTAATGAAGAAAGGTGAAAAAAACTGGGCATGCTTAGATTTGAGAAAAGAAGGCTGAGGGGGGTTCTTGAAAGAATTTAAGGGCTCTTGAGGATCAATTGTTCTTCCTGTCCACTGAAGGTAAGAGAAGTAGTAATGGCTTTATAATCTGTAGCAGCTCACCAGTCATAGGGAGGAAAGGAAAGGGAGATTCCCTCTTCTGGCCTTCAAACATCCCCCCACAACCTCTCCAAGCTCATCATCAGAAGCAAGCTTCCTCCCCGTAGACCAGGACCGACCGACCAACTCAAAGTGGCACCAGACCCTGCCAGACCAATAGATGCAAAACCTGGCGACATATTTCCACTGCTACAATGATCAGCACCCCTCACAACACACCTTTCGAGATCCATGCGTCCTGCACATGTCTATCACAATACATGGTTTACTTCAAACCAGTGCACTAAATGCCCCAATAGCAACTATGTGGGTGAAACCAGATAATCACTATGCGCTCGAATGAACTCACACAAGAAAATGGTAAAAGACAAAAACCTCTGGGTGAACACTTTTCACAAGGAGTCATACATCTGATCTGTCAGTCCCAATCCTCAAAAGAAACCTGCACAACATTTTCAAAAGATGAGCCTGGGAGCTTAAATTCATAACTTAGCTAGATACTAAAAATCAAGGATTGAACAGAAACACTGTATTTATGGCTTATTACAACAATTTGCTGCAACCCACTAATAATGCCCCCTTCCCCACCAGCTACTTCCCCTCTGCTCTTCCTTTCCTCCTTATGACTGGATGGGTGTTAATGGGCCACTTCACCTTGAATGGTCCCTTGAAATATGTGTTAACTACTAAGGTAAACAATCTGTTCCACCTTGTATTTAGCAGTGACACTGAGTTAGTTTCCCAGACCTGCAGAAGAGTTCCATGTAAGCTCAAAAGCTTCTCTCTCTCACCAGCAGAAGTTGGTCCAATAAAAGATATTACCTCACTATTGGCAACGCATATGGGGGACATGAGGGTCCAGTGCCTCCCATCCCAGATTTCTGCTCAGCCTGCGGGGGGAGGGAGAGGGCTCTGTCCTTTTCCTGCCACTCCTGCCTCCCCCCACCCCCCCAGCACATTTGGCCCTGTCCCTGGCAGCCGAGCCTGGGTAGGGAGCAGAAGGTGTGGGATCAGCCACTTCTCATACCAGCTGAGGATGGCCGCTGCTGTGTGCAATGTGGTGACTGCCTGTGAGAACCTGGTTGGTGAGGCGGCAGCAGCCCACCCCTGCTGTTCCCCGCCCAGGCCTGGCTGCTGGGGATGGGCCGAGCAAGACAAAGCCACATCCTGGCATGTTTCTGGCTTGCTTGACCCTTGTCCCTGGCAGCCAGCCTGGACTGGGAGTGGAGAGGGCGGG